GGCTCCTTGTTTGGTAGGATCACCTTTATTTTTTCAGCGGGACTTTCCTATTCCCGTATCCTGTTTACGGACCATATAACTAGGTCTTGCCAAACAGTTGTTATTTCAGGCATGAAGGCTTTGAACCTCCTTGATGAGCATTCGCCGATCGCGTATGCAATCCACTCGTCCGGCCTAATGGTTAGAGCGGTAGACTTCTGATCAAAAGATCGTATAAAATCTAAGTATCGGTTATGCTTAGAGTGCTGCAATCATCAGGTCGATTCCCGACTTGTAGGCAAAAGGCAGTAGTTACTAGAATGAGGGCTTTATTGTGCGCATTAACTTGCATTGTTGTCCCAGGCAGCAGTGGTCACCAGCTAGATGTTGCCTGTGTCCAGTCGTGTCCGAAAGTAAATAACTGCGGGTGAGAGAGATAACAGTCGCCTTGACATGAGCGTGGAGCGAGTTCGAGTGGTGTGCTATGGGTGTATTGCATCGCCTCGGGAGATTTCGCGTTTAGAGGCTCCTGCTGCGTTGGTCAAGAAATGGCATGTTCATGGGGCCCTTAGGCAGCCGCAGCTGGTTCGAGCGCGCGTGTGTGCGCACGTGTGTGTGCGAGTAGATGTCAGTCAAGGGATTTCAGGTCAGCAAGTCGGAACCAACTGCCCGTAAAGTTGCATGGCGTTTATGCGGTGGACAGTGACCACAGAATGAGGAACAGCATTATTGGCTGTCCGCCATAGTCACGAGTTTGAGCCTCGGGTAGAGCACCACTTGAGAATGGGTATGATTGGCTAACGACGGCTAATGAGCCGGAAATGGTCATTACAGTCTGTTTGGCCGCAATGCTATCTGCCAAGATGAGAGGCTTTGCTTTTCATTTCCTAACAGTGCAAGCTTGGGCTTAAAGTGGCCGCAATAGAATACATTGAGCTCAATATTAAAAAATCGCAAGAAAAAGTCTTCAAATATGCCGCGAGCCAAAAATCACTAATGGTCAAACTATCATTTTGCTATGGGAACATGTTGATTGGAACACTTCACTTCAGTCGACTCCGCGAACGCACTGATTAGTTGAAATTTCCTCTTGCCTGTATTGGGAACTTATCTATTTTTTTAAACGTTTTGGGCTATTTATGGCTTTACAGTCAGGTATGATTTCAGGCTAGGGATAAAAGAATTTTCGATAAGAATTTAGTTGCTCGGCAATGTTAGAAAACCACACTTAAATAACTACTATATGCACTTTAGTAGGCGTAGTTGTGCTCATTACTGAGCCGCAGCACAGAAGGTTTTAGCTTTCTGTGGTTACTGTTAGCATTACTTGTTTTAGTTTTCTTTTTAGGCTCCTTATTTAGTTTATTAGTTAAATTGTAGTTATAGTTTTACTTGGTTAAGCTTTTAATTCATTCATTTTTAAGTGACATGCGATTTCTTTACGGCTTATAATACTACAATATCCGTCTAAGTGCATTAGAAGCTACTGTGGGTTTTAAAAATTGAGGAAAGGCCTACCCTCCATGATTTTACCGTGATCTCTTAATTCCGATATAAAGTTGGTATAGGTTTGCATCCAACTTGCGAGTACTTTTCCGCAGTTTTTGTTCTCCATTGGTTTATTTCTCATCGTGCGCCAAAAATTAGGTTGCCTAAGTAAGTACTCCTTTTATTTTCTGCTTTTAGACACTTTTCTTTTTAATTTTCTTATTCTTTTTACTGGTATAACCTACTCATAAAACCCTTATTAGCACCGGTCCCGTAAGACATCATCCTTGCGCCACGGGCACCTAAGGTTAGCGACCAATTTCATTTTTGCCTTTTAATAGTTCAAAGCAATAGTCTGAATTTATAGGATTGAAAGACAGAAGTCATACCTCGGTGTTTTGCCAATCGATATATTTGTTTCCTGAAGTAAGAACACACGAAAAATCATTGACAACAGGAAATCACATTTGCGGAGTCATTTCATAATACCCAGTTTAGTAGTTTTGGCACCAAGGAATATGCGTTGTAAAATGTTCACAATGCCTTAAACCTTTTGTAAGCAAGGCCACACAAAACCTTGTTTGCATTCTGCATAGTTTGTCTTTACGCATTTTGATTTCAAACTAATACCAGTCCTCATCACCGTTATCAGTGACAAAATGGAATTTGAAAACGCTTTATTTCTTGGGTGCAGCCTTCGTTTAACACGAGCCAGCATACCATGGGAGCTGAGATTCACACAGAAACGCAAATAGCCTCATTTGATTAACAACAATTCAACAATTCATATTTCGAAAATATGTCTATGCACTTTTGCACAACAAAAGCGATCTGTAACAATGTTTGCATA